TTAGGCAAATGGAAATGTAGGTCCGGGTCTAGTGCATGTAGATGGGAGACCACCTGGGAATCTTATGGATGCCATGTTGAGTTCAGGGGTGGGATTAAACTAATGAGTCATGTCAGTGAAAGTACAAGGACTTCTGCTTCTGTGCATGGGACGTTCCCCACCTTTTTTCCACCCACGCAACCCTGCCCCCCCAAAAAAATGGCTTTAGGAGGATCAGGGGAAAGAAGGGGGAGGAGAGGATGAATCGTTCCATTCCCAAGCCATAATGCTTGCCCTCGTGGAGCAATCACCTTAGTGTGATGTTAAATTCCTCCCAATGTCTAGCTTTTTGACTAAAGCCATAGAGAAGTTCATATTTAGACAAAGAAGCTTGGGTGTTATTATTTGAGATCAGATTCCACCTTTGCAAAGCAACAGGAAGTGTGAGTGATTCATCACTTCATGCTTCCAAGTCAACGCTGAAGCTCATCCAGCTTCATTTCTCTTACTGCAGGAAGAGAATATGCATCTTTGATATCCACGTGTTCCCTTTGCACTCTGTTCATGCTTTCCCCCTTGCCTGTGCAGTGGACGCCCAATGCAGTAATTGCGAAAAACAATCTTCCTGCAGATATTTACATCCATTTCTTTAGGCTTATCAAAAGTCCTAGAGGATCTTCACGTGAGCTTATGCTTATAAATACCTTTCCAGGCTTGAAATGAACATATAACAAAAGCCAGTTATTCTGCACCCATGTTTTCTTAGTTTCACAGCCTTGTTACAACTGTACAATACAAGCCCTATGAAGAATGAATGGATGATGAATGAATGAATGTAGTGCATGTTTATGTGTTTTTGTGTGAATGGATGGATGGAGGTATGAAAGAGACAAAGCAACAGTGATGAATGGATGGAATGTGTGACTGGGCATGCATACATGGTTGTAGGGTAGGTGTGTGGATAAGGCCTCGCTTGTTTTTTGGTTTAGCACTGCCCATCACCAGCTCTAACCCTCCCTACTATTGGTATGCAAGCTTTTGATCATGTTCCCCTGAGGGAATGAGGTCCTGAAAACTTCAAAACATTGCCCACTTTTGCCACAACAACTTTTAACATTATTTTCTTCTTGAAAATAATTCTTTGTTCTTGAATATAATTCTATTACAGTACTCAGAGCTAGAGATTTGCATGCCATATAAAGTTTGCTTGACTCATTAATATATACTTCTGCTGGGAATCAAGAGGCTGTGATAAGGTCACTGCATGCAAATTATTTTCAACTGCAAGGTACACTGTTATGAAGAGTATGCCTTTCTTCTCAAAGAGAAAGGTTATTGCTTAATCCAGTGACCCACTGCCATTCAGGCACTTGCTATTTATTTGTGGATGGTTATAATTATCTTTAGCCTTAGCTGCAAGGATAATTTATTAACTGATATTGTCTGTGCAGGGCTTGGAACAAAGATCAACTTATTGTAATGTAAGTTTACTTTATAATTCATTAACTGTTGATGACATTAATTCAGTGTAAGTGGATTTCTGAGTTTTTGCTCTTTTTCGTGTGTTACAGACAAAAAGGGATCTTGTTTCAATAAATATAGCTAGCCGTCTTGCTTAGGATTGGGGTACTTCTTGGTGGTAATGTACTCATTCATGTAAATGATTGCTTGGTGTTTCTTCAAGTGATGGAAGAACACATATGTATAAACTAGTCCTAATACTTTATAACAGATGACTTAAATAATGCACGAGCATCTTGAATCTTTTAGTTCTGCTTAAGTTTCTATGAAATCAAAAGCAACAAAGAATGAGAAGTATGAATATGGGATTTCATTCCTGATTAATTATTGACTGGGGACAAATTCTAGGAGCAGATCTGGGTTATTCAGTTGCAGCAAAAAGGACAGAGTGTTTTGTACAGCTCCATGCCACAGTAGATTGCAAGGAGAGCAGCTCAGACGGTCCCACATTTAAACCCAGTTTTTTTTGTTTTTTTTAAAGGATCAGGTAGTAGCCCTTGGAGAGCTGTTGCTAGTTAGAGAAGATGATACTGGGCTTGGCAGAAAAATGCCAGCTGGGTACAAGGCAGCTACCTGTGTTCCTTTTGGACCATGCATTTTAATAGGGAAAGGTTTGCTCCTCTCATAGAAAAGGTTTTGCTGTTGTAAACTAGTTATACCCTAAGTTCAGACTTGCTGGCTTTGTGGTTTAACATTGGTCCCTGCAGTCCAATGATGTGTTTAAAATTTACAAAGCAAGCATGTATATTCAGGTTCACTTAATGACTCAGTGTTCAGTGATCTGGACTATGCACTCTGTCTTGAAAACATAAGAAGTGCCTTGCTAGATCCATCTAATGCAGTATCATTTGAAAGAATCCCAACCAACATCAGGCATTAGATGGTCTATCAGAAATTGGAAAGTGTTGAGCCAACAGTGGACCCCATTCCTAATCTTATACAGTACACACTTGTGAAACAGTCTCATTTATTTCACTGGAAGAAATGGAAAGAAATCTGATAGTAAATACTATTGTTACTTATTTTGCCATGATAATTGCATGCATCATTTAAGTCAGCGTACATACTCTTATATCCAGAAAGCGATACATTTTGTTGCCTGAAACAGTGCTTCTCCCTTGCCTGGTTAGGATTAACATATTAAACACTTGCTGCACCATTCAGATGCCAAGTCTTGCCTTCAACTAGCTCAGGGCTGGAGAACCATTTCAAGGCAGCAGGATGGATGCTTCAGTCCCCCAAACCCTGCAGGCTATCTTGACTGGTAGGCTGCCCACCTGCCATTCAATGGAAAGCACTATGGAGTTAAACCATGTGGGCAAAGGCAGGGAGCCATGTTTTACCTGCCCTACATCTGACATCATATATGATATATGGTGTAGGGCAAGCAAGAGTCACTTGGCCATAATGGCCTCTAGGACTGAATGGTAAGGTCTACTAGGCCTGATTGGGCCCATTGGGCAGAGGTTCCTCCCTGCTGATTTAATGCTTCTCTCATCTCACCCCCTGAAGCAGATTCCTTTACCTTGTTGTGTGGCAGGGCTGGCCCTGTTCTGACTTATCAACTCAGGTCATACTATGTTTTCTACAGTTAAAGGGGCAGCTGCATCAATGCCACAGCTTGCAGTGTTGGTTCCCTAGTGCCAGCAGTTAACCAAGGATATTGTTCCAGAATAGCAGCAGCTACTATGCAAGGAAAGCCGCCATCCACACAAAGGGCATCATGAAAGTGCATCATCAAAGTGAGATCATGAAAGCAGGTGTAGCAGTTCAGAATTCCTCGCACAGAAGCAGAGCTAGTGTGTCAAGTTATTCTGACAGGATTTTGCAGCCACTGGGTATTGCTGTACTTTAGGGGTAGCGAATGTCTTACCCATGAGATCTTGCTGAATTCCAGATCCCATCTTCCCCTGACAATTGTCAAACAATATCTGGAGGGTACCACATTTGTTACCCTTCCTGCACTATATGGCAGAGAGGAAAGTATGAGGTCAAGTGATATTCTGTTTAACTGAATAGACTTGCCTGGCTTACCTAGCAATGGTGGTGGTTTTCAAAATACCTACTACCAGGGAACTCTTTCAGTCTGCTGTGGAACTCATTGGTGTCTGGGACTCACTTTGGGGTGTATTTTCAGTTTGCATGGAGCCCTAGAAATGTCTAGAAAGCTTTGCCATCAGCCCAGCCAAGCTGAGTGTGTAGCCTAAAACATGCCCAACACTACTGTGGCTGTACAGTGGACTGACCACCACTACTCTGGCAATGTCATTCAAAATGCCTTTTCATCTATCAAGGAACTCCTGCGAAGCTTCCGATGCTTGAAGTTTGAAAACCACTGCATTATACTTTCTCACCTATAGTGAGTTATGTAATTGTTGCATTTTATGGAACAATTCAAGTGACCTTCTGCATTTGCTTATTGATGTGTGAGCTGCATAAAAAGCTAAACTGCAAGGAAGATGATAACAAGAAAAGAATATATACATCACAGCTAGCCAATGTGGTGCCCTCCAGATGTTTTGGACCACAACTCCAATCACCCTCAGCCAACATAGCCATCCATTGGGGATGATGGAAGTTGTAGTCCACACATTGGCTACTTCCCATCTAGAGTAAACTTTGATTAACTTTGGTGTAGTGGTTAAGAGCGGTAGTCTCATAATCTGGGGAACCGGGTTCGCGTCTCCGCTCCTCCACATGCAGCTGCTGGGTGACCTTGGGCCAGTCACACTTCTTTGAAGTCTCTCAGCCCCACTCACCTCACAGAGGGTTTGTTGTGGGGGAGGAAGGGAAAGGAGAATGTTAGCCGCTTTGAGACTCCTTAAAGGGAGTGAAAGGCGGGATATCAAATCCAAACTCCTCCTCCTCCTCTTCTTCTTCTTCTTCTTCTTCTTCATAGCATCTACAATTAAACTGGCCATATTTTATTAGGAGGTGACACAGTTGTTTCTGGACTGAGTTTAAGGTATACATATATATATATATATATATATATATATATATATATATAAACATGCACAGAGTAAACACAGATTCCTGGATGCCAGTAATGACCACTTTAAATTCAAGTGTTGTAGCTGTATCCAAGAATAAAGTGACTTGGAGCAGCCCTTGCTTGCAGAGCTTTGGAGATCTTGGAGATCCACAGAGCTTTGGGTTGGGGTGGCTGTTTGTATAGCCCTGCAATAGTTAGGTCTATGTATTTCTAGTGGGGAAATTTAATAAGCAGACGAGCCTGTGAATGCCCAACATCTGCAGCTGTTGTGCATTTGTACCTTTTATCTCTTGCAACATTTCTGTTCTCAAGCTAACCATAACAACTTGAGGAATTGCTGGTTATACTGTCTGGTTTCCCCTCACTAGGCCTTTAGCCAAAGGAGATTTCAGTATTAATGTTGTTCTGAAACTACTTACTACAGAGAAAGTCAAATAAATGCTATGACTGGAATCAATTTGCTGCTTTGGCAAAAGAGTAATAAATGGGAGATTGCAGAAGGACAACACACACACACACACACACACACACACACACACACACTAAATTATATAGCACACTCCTCTTTTGAGAAGACATTCTTCCTTCACCTATGAAGAAGCATGAGAGGGGGGGAAATGACCAGAGCTACATTTCAAAGTGTTTGCCTCTCTGTGTGTGTCTGGTGTGTGTGTGTGTGTGTGTGTGTGTGTGTGTATTCCTTCCATCCCTCCACCAAACTGAATCCCTGAAATTCTTGAACTGACATGATACATCTTGTCAGAGCTACTAGTGGGCCATGCAAGGGCATGGGAGGGGGTATAACTTCCCGGGTGAGGAACGTGCTTCAGTCCCTCAGGAGTGGAAGTGATGCTACAGTGCACTCCTTGGCAAGCTGCATAAATCACAGGGCTTTGCAGCATGGGAGGCACTGACAGAGAGAGAAAGGCACTGAACTGTGCAGTACAAGGAAGGACTCTGCTGCATCTCTGCCATCATTATTTCAGCCTAGAATATTACCCCCTTGCTATTCTGCAAGAACTTTCAGGCATTGAAATGCCAGGTGTGGGCATTGTATGAATAAATACTACACATTGCACATCGTCAAGGCTGTGCAGGGGATGTTGCTGCCTGGACCAAGAACTTCATAACTAGTTGTTCTGGGAATCAAGGGTTCCCTTAATGTTTTCCTTACCATCATCTGAAGACCTTGAGCTACCTTATTACCTCTTAACATTTCTTTGCCCTTGTTTAACTAATAATGTATAATGCCACTTATAAATGCCAAACCTTCAAGCAGTTTCTCAGAAATCCTCTATACTAATTAGTGAAATCGGTCCCTGAGTGATGTTCCTTGTGCAGGCAAAACAGCAGCATCTAAGAACAAGAAGGAGGTATGGACAGGCTTGGGAGGACTCCAAGGTCTGCAGGAATAAAACTCACACATATAAATAGTCTAGAAAAACAACTCGGGTTGAGGAAATGGATTGGAATATCCTGGAAGAACAACTACAGTAGCTACCTGGTTGGTTGGTTGGTTGGTTGGCAACCTGAACATGAGCCCTCCACATGGTGCCATTTGTTGCTGACCTACTTTTAAAGTTTAATGAATAAACCTCTTTCCGCAGCAAGTAATGTAATCTTTAAAAAAGATACTGTAAATTAATAACCGGTCCAGTCCCAAAACAAAGCAAGTAAAAGTTTTGCAAACAAAAAAAGGAGGTCAGAACGGTGGGAAAGAGAAAACATTGTGGAAATGTACACACATACACACACAGCTGACATGTGAGTTCCCAGTTTGGTTAGATAGTATCTTTGTAAAGGAAAATATTCATGTTACTCAGTTCCATGAAAATGGCTCAACAAAAATCTGCATCCTGCAGTAATCTCAAGAAAACTTTTGTATTTTTTGTTGAGCCATTTTCATGAAATCACAAGATGAGCATTTTCCTTCAATTAAGGTGCTATCAAAATGCATTCGGAACTTAGTATTTCTTACAGGTCTTTTCCTTTTCCTTTTCCTTTTTGTGTAAAATTTGTACATATAGAGGATTCCCGTCATTGAATGGGTCATCTGAAATGTTTCATAAAATGAATAACAGAAAAGCACACATTAACTAGGAAATCCGGCGCTCACTCTGCAAATACAGAAAGATACATTCCTGGCTGCCACTGCAAACCTCCCCTCCCACCAGTGTAAGTTTCCCACAGTCCCACATTCTGTTTCTTTGGTTGTCCTGTGCTGGAATGTGTTATGAAGTTGATGTCAAGTCAAAGGTCTAAAATCTCTTACTGTTCAGAAAATTTTTTGTAACTATAGTTAGAGCATGGTAGTGATAATGCAAAGGTTGCAGGTTCGATCCCGTATGGATCCTGCATTGCAGGCGGTTGGACTAGATGATGCTTAGGGTCCCTTCCAATGCTATGATTCTACATCTGATTAGGCATATGTGTCAAATTTCAGTCTGATGTGAAAGTACCTTTACAATTCAGTTTCCACTTTCATTAGTAACACTGTCTCTCAACCTGGAAAGCCAGGCAATTGTTCAAAGAATGGAGATCTCCTCAAGGTGATATTGAGAGTGTAAGAAATGTTTTGAAAGATAAACCCACTTAGGGTTATGTGGTTTAGCGGGTAGTTATACTCAGAGTAGAGCCATTTAAATTAATGAACCTAAGTCCATTAGGTCCATTAATTTCAATGGAGGTCATTCAACGTTGCACTCTTCTGATCGTTCAGTGCAAGCATTTTGGCTTCCCAGATTGAACTCTCCCCTTTCCCCACCTCATGCACTATTCTGGGTGTGTGTGTGCATGAGGACACACAGGGGAGGAGAGGGGGGAACACCCCATCATGCAAGCAGAAGTCCTTGGTGAGGGCTTCTGCTGATGGGATGTACTGGTTAAATCATTCCCCTTGGGGCTGTGCTAAGTAGCACTCATGTTACCTATAACCCTTCACACTTTTAATCTGTATATTAAGAAATTATCTCTGGTCTTTAATTTTTCAGAATGGAATGGACTGGTCTTTCTTTCTTTCATTCTACAGTGGTACCTCGGTTTACGAACTTAATCCATTCCAGAAGTCCATTCTTAAACCAAAACCGTTCTTAAACTGAGGCACACTTTCCCTAATGAGGCCTCCCACATCCGGTGCCCTTCCACCATTCGGATTCTGTTCTTAGACCAAGGTAAATTTCGCAAAACCGTTTTGCAGAGTTCATAAACCAAATTGTTCATAAACAGGGCTGTTCTTAAACCGAGGTACCACTGTATGTATGGATGCAAGGATCCAAAAATATATACTGAAAGTTAACCTTCCTAGATTATGAATTCCCCAGATGGTACTCCTAAAAAGTGAGTCATTTTTGGTATTAGTATCCTTCATACACTGAAGAAGACACATAGCTGGACCAGCTGGAACTAAACACCCTGCTTGTTACTTATACAGGAGTAAGGTAAAGGTAAAGGACCCCTGGACAGTTAAGTCCAGTCAAAGGTGACTATGGGGTTGCGGCGCTCATCTCGCTGTCAGGCCGAGGGAGCCAACATTTGTCCACAGACATCTTTCCGGGTCATGTGGCCAGCATGACTAAATGGAACACCATGATGGAAACGAGAGTGCACGGAAACACCATTTACCTTCCCAATGCAGTGGTACCTATTTATCTACTTGCACTAGTGTGCTTTCAAACTGCTAAGTTGGCAGGAGCTGGAACAGAGCAACGGGAGCTCACCCTGTCATGGGGATTTGAACCGCGACTTTCTGATTGGCAAGCCCAAGAGGCTCAGTGGTTTAGACCACAGGTCCACTTATTCCCTAACTCTGAGCTGGGCTCACTGCAGAGCTGTGGGGATCCCTTGTGAGTAGAAAAGTGGACTCCTTGAGTTCACTAGTCACTACCTGTTGGACTACTTGACCCTGTGATACTCTTCTGTTACAAGAATTATGAACACTTTGGCAGAGGTACCACTGTAATTCCTAAAGTAGCTACTTAGGTGTATGCAACAAAATATTCCCGCTTGCAGGCACGGTCTGGGTATCATCAAGGAAGAGGGAAGAGTTCCTTGGGCCAGCAAAGATGGAGACAGTGATTTTCCCCAAATCTACCTGTTTTCATGTTGGGTCCCAGGAAGTGTTAAGGTTTGGGGACAGAGTGGCAGGAACCAACCAATCAGTGAAGAGTAAACCACTTGGGACAACACCTGTGAGAGGGAATATGCCATTAGTCCCTGCCATTTAAATCAAAGAGAAGGAACTGGAGTATCCCCAACATCTCTTATTAATGTGAGGGAGATGCTTTGGACATAAATTGCTCTCTGCTGGATAAAGGCATGGATAGTCTCTGGGTACAGATAGGTTCTCTTAAAACAACAATTAATGGGGAAGGGGCTCTATTTTGTTACGGCATCATAAAAAAGGGATCTCCCTGATTCATTATTAGCACAGAAGTTGCACTTGACTAGATGGAAGTGACTTATTCTCCTAGATAGTAGCTACTTGATGACAGAGTGTGAAAGTAGGCCTGCCATGTGGCAGTCGGAATCCGGATGCATGGCAACCCATGTCAGAAGTCAAGATTTTGGCAAATTTCCAAATATGGCAACCCTAGTGAAATATGGCAACCCTAGTGAAATATGGCAACCCTAGTGAAGGGTTCCTTTGGCAAATGCTTATAAAATGTCAAACTATCAGTAGTTAATTTGAAAGAAGAAAAATGTTGGATTTCCTCCCACCCACCACCCACCCCATGTCATTTCATACGTGGTGATTTTATTCACTTTTAGCTGAGTGTTCATACAAAATGTAAATTATTGTTGCAGGAAGATGTATTTTATGTACAAGGTGTAGCCCAATGAAACTTCAGTATTTCAGCTACATACATATATTAAGACCAGAAGTAGGTTGTCTATATGGAATGAAATCAGAGTGCTAGTTTCCCAGGAGTGGCGTTACTGTCTCTTAACTAGAGAGGAGAGAAGGAGAGAAGTGGCAGTTGGGAGGTCAGCAAGGTGCAGACACAGTGGCAGGAGTATTAGATTGGTTCTGCTGGAAAGTCCACATCGCACTGACCTCCCTACCGCTTGTCCCCTCCCCATCTGTCTCCCAGTAAGCAGCAGCCCTGGGAGCTAATGTTGCAGTTCACATTGTCCGCATGTTCATGAGTACAGTCAGTTTTTTTGCTCCTTATTATTTATTACTATTGCATATATATCCCATTTTCCTCCAAGGAGGTCAGGCTGCTGCACATGGTTTCCCCCACCAGACTAGCGGACTAGCAGATACAATTAAGATGTAGAAAATGGAGCCTTTCAAAGTCAATGTTCATCAGACCACTATATTTCTGTGCAATTTTCAAAGGCTTCATTTTTTTTTTAAAAAAAAGGGACCCGAAGGTATATAGCTAATAGCTAAATAAAGAAGGATTAATAACCTTTAATTTACACATTAAAGGAATTTAAAGGAAAAAGTAATTTACTTTTACCTCTTAAAATAGAATGCTCAAAAGCACTTAATGTCACCAGTCTAATCACAATGTTTCAAAAGGACTATAATTTCAGCCCTGATTTGTATCTTTGGCAGCATCTGTCTGATAGGAATTGCCGTTGTGATTATTTTTGTGCAAAATATATGCATGCATACATAAAGCACACACTGTGCCGGAGAGGTTAGTGCCGCAGTAATAGAAATCATTTGCAGCTGTAGCT